CATCTCAGAATCATTTCTTGAAACTTTTCCACTTAAGTAATTGTGAATTGAGCATATTGACAGACAACATTTTATTTTTTATCTTAAATGCAAATTTAAAAAAAAAATAATTACTGCTCTAAATGTATTGCTCTGTCAGCTAAAGATCTGTTTTGGTCTCTATACTTTAATTAAATAAATCAATTCAAGCTAAAATGTAAGAGGCTATACCTGATCTCTTTGTATCAGAGATTTTCTTACCCAGGGTTGCAGGGGGGGGTAAAACCCCCCCTGCAACCCTGGTTTGCATTTGTATAGCTCACAGCATGTTCATTTACATGTTAAAGCCTCCCCTAGAATTCCATGGGGGGGAGGCATGGGGGGAACACTGCCTAAGAAATTCCACGTCAATTTCTGACAATTTACGGGAGTTTTCGTCGAAGCCTGCAAATTGCCGTATACTGCCGCTAACCTGAAGTTCCACGACAATCTACAGTGCCGTATATTGACGAAAATCCCACTTTTCATGCAGTGATGGTTTGAAAAACAACGGGTTGTTCTCATCAATAACCTTGTGATATCTCATCAATCGGGGCCAGACTAAATTACACATTTAATCTCACAATTAGTCTGGTTTATCAGGCTAGGTAATATTTGGATGATTCCATTAATTATTCACCCCAGCACACTTTAATTTACACAGTCTCTGTTGGGTTGAGGTAATGACTCACTAGGCTGTTCTAACACATTGAAAAGTTTTCCCCTTAGATAATTATACTGGTGGAATATTTTATTTTGCCACAAGGTAAACCTCAATCGAAATAACAGGCAGACCTATGCAGGTTTTGCTCAAGGATATCCTTTGAATTTAACACCATCTACATGGCCTTTGCCATGGAGTTCTGTTAAAATTGGTCTCTGCCTCTCTGAATAATGTCTTTGCTGACTGTTCTGAGTTTTACTGGGTACCCGTCTCCTGGCAGGCGTGTTGAGGTACCATGGTCTTTCAATAAAAAGGTAATTGATTTGAAGACACTTGGTCAATATCTGTAAAGATTTTCAGTCATCCAGGTCATGTTTAAGCTTGAAAGTTCAGTTTAGGAAACCGGGCGTGAAGTTTTCTAAAAGGCGTTTCGCCTCTTATCCAAGAGGCTTTGATCAACTTGGTTTATCAAAGATTAAGATTTTTTTTTTGTAACCCACCTATTCTCCCTAACATTGTCCCTGACTTGTTTGGAGAGCTCCTAGGACTTCATGGTGAGATGACTCTTAGTGGTGCTGCAGGGTAAAAAGCTGAGAGAGTTGGCTAAATTATGTCAATAGCAAGACAAGATGAACTGATTTCAGACATTTGGGACTTGAACGCAACACACTGAGAGCCATTATATAAACATCGAAAAATAAAAGAAACGTAAAGCAGTGGAGAACTTACGTAAGAGTGGCTGCCGCACTAAAATTACTCCACATCTGGAAGAATATCAGCCTTTCAAGTAGCCTAGTCAGTCTAGATTGAGATGTGGAAGGATTTTAAACAGGCTCTTAATGTCCTAATTTATTAAAAGGAAAAAGTATCATTAAATTCAACAAGTCAGCGATTTTATTTATTTATTTTTTTTACTTATTTTTTTTCACATCGATTTCAGACTCGTCACTTTTTGATAGTAGTTTTATTGATGATAGCTGCTGCCAAGTTCGTCACAAGCTGCTATTAGGTTTTAGGGTTGTCACGATACTAAACTTTTCAACTCGATACCGATACTAAGGAAAATATTCGATACTCGATACCATTTTCGATACCACAAGGATAAAAACAAAGACTCCAAAATTCTACAGAAATATTTTCCTTAATAAATAAAATACAATAAATAAATACAATAAAGGTTGTTTGCTGTGCACAGTATTAAGCAAGCTTGATAAAAAACTTATAATATTAAAATGAAGTGTTCCTTCCTTGGCTATGCTTTGCACACATAACAATGACACTAGCCAAACCAGTTATGAAACAAAAATAATTCTCAGCTGCTGCACCTGTTACAAAAAAAGTCTTAAACTGAAAAATGCACAGAATTATTCAATCACACAGTGTTCAGAAAGTGCATTGTCCTCTATTCTGCACTTTAGATGAATGACTGTTTAGGTGCCACTGGTGGTGGCACTGTATCCATCCATCCATTATCTTACACGCTTGTCCCAATTGGGGTCGCGAGGGGTGCTGGTGCCTATCTCCAGCAGTCAATGGGCGAGAGGCGGGGTACACCCTGGACAGGTTGCCAGTCCATCGCAGGGCAACACAGAGACACACAGGACAAACAACCATTCACTCACACCTAAGGACAATTTAGAGAAGCCAATTAACCTAACAGTCATGTTTTTTGGACCGTGGGAGGAAGCCGGAGTACCCGGAGAGAACCCACGCATGCCCAGGGAGAACATGCAAACTCCATGCAGAAAGACCCTGGGCCAGGAATTGAACCCAGAACCTTCTTGCTGCAAGGCAGCAGTGCTAACCACTGCGCCACTGAGCAGCCCGTGGCACTGTATCGATACTTTTAAAAACGAGTATTGTATCCGGATACAACGTTTCAGTATCGATACTTTTTTGAGTATCGATACTTTTGACAACCCTATTAGGTTTAGCGACTAATACTATTTCACATATCTTGGACAGTATTTTTTCTTAAACTGCATTTTTAATTTACTCTCAAAATCATTAATATTTAAATGTCTAACCTTTAAATATCTAACCTGAAACATTTTAGTTGAAAAAAAAAACAACAAACAAACAAGAAATCTCTGACAAGAGAAATGTTTTTTTTCCACAGCATTGTATATCCAGACAATAACTTTCTATGGCTGTAACTAATTAAAGTAAAAACTAATTTCCTTCAAGTTGTTTTACAAAGGCATTGGGGTCTCTGATTTTTATAGTGATAGTTCCAGTGAGTGAATTAAATACACCATACAGATGCTCAAGTTAAATTAGCTGAGCGCAGGAACTCTGCTTTTTAAAAGCTGTGGAGTTATGGTCACTCTGAAGCAACATTTATCTTCTCTCCCTCTCAGAAGTCAGGTTATTACATGCGCCACCTGGTATGGGTTTCCAATAAATGGAGCAATTCAACAATATGTTTCACATTCAGCTGAAGTTAGTTATAGCAATATTAGAAGTTGTTTGGTGAAATGTGCATACTGGTTCAGCTCTGTGTGCCCAGATTGCCTTTCAAGTTGTGGGATATTGCTTTGTGTTTTCAGTTTTGAGGATCTGCATGGACTCATGATCAGATTTGATTAAGGAGGGACCCAGAGCTAATTTGATTAGGTTATTTAGCGGAAATATGTGTTTGGTAATAAACATTTATTATGATGAAAAAGTTTACTTTAATAAGCACACAAAGCCCAGAGGACATAGAAACTTAACTGTTAGGTGTTTAATTGCAATGTTGCGATGCTGCCAAGATAATGGGCAAAGAAAGGCCCTCAAGTCAAGGCAATTAACCAAACAGTGGTTTGATTGTTGTTAAATTGATTAGAAAATGTTTAAGTACTCTGTCTGTAAATTAGCTATTGTTTCACGCAGTTTTTGACTGCCTGCGAATGCTGAGCTTAATGACACATACGCTTTGAGTTAGTAATGGGAAAAGTTGTTGCTCAGGTCAGGGTGTTGTTATGAGTAGTGATGCGGCTTTGTTAAATGCAACTAATTTAGCCTCGGTGGAACTGCTGTTTGTCTGGATTAGTCAAGCCCAGGTGGTTACATGGCTCCTGCAGGGAAAGTGAAGCTATTGGAATCATCTTGATATGATGCATGCTGATGACGACCTGTCTGATATGTTGATATGGAATAGTACTTCAGGGAACACATGAAACCAGCAAAAGATTGACATTTTTTCTTGTGTTAATCGCTTAATCACCCAACTGTTGATCAGCTGTTGCAGACTAAGGTAGTGACAGATTAGGCAATTTGAGGGTCTATACAGATTTTCCAAGGGAGACAACTGATGGAGACTCACAGAGAGAGATTCAGGTTATGCCGATTTGTTGTCTCGCCCCAGTATCTCTAGTTTCCTGATTAGAAGAGTAGAGAAATCCACGGCTGGAGGCAAGCTTTATGACCATCACAGCCCCACATCTCCTGACTCATAAGTACTTTACAGCCTAGTGCCACAACATATGGCAGAGTTGTTACCGATTCCCATTTGAGGTATGTTTCAAACGGCCGTCCCTTGCTGAGCCACAAGCCTGTGGCAGCAGATTTTCTTATTGTGTTTGAGGAGAAGATAAACATCTGCTCAAGCCGAAGTTCTGGTGTAAATCTTTCCAGTGCCTGTCACCACAAGAGATGCTCTTCAGAGGCAGTGTCATAGAAATTAAATCACTCTTTGTGCCTCGGCATTGGGTGCAACTTTTTGATGATTTGATACACAACTTGATTTAAGCAAAACTAACCCGCATGTTTTCAGTGGACAAACCAATGTGGGTGAAGGATTTTATAGGTTTTATTTAAGATTCATGTAAACTGTCTAGGCATTGGCCATTATTAGTTTGTCATGGTATAACCTTGGGTTAAAGTGCCTCAGTCTAGTATTATTGAAACAATTTATTTTTTAATTAAATTATAAAAAAAACAATTATACTGCATTTGTTGGCATTAGTCTCTGCACTATATAGCCAAAAAATCCATATGGCATGTTTTTAAAAACATGGTTTACCTGGATACCAATAACTGGCCTATGTCTACTCTATGTGTGGGTGTTACATTTCAAATGTGTGTCCTTGGGCTATACACATTTGATTTCTGTTTTTTTTTTGGATTATTAAATGTCATATCCACATGTACGATACTCAAGATTTGCTCATTTGTCTTCTAAATTAAACAAGGCTCTACATTTGGCATTCACGCTTCATGTTTTTCATGAAACGATCTCACAAATGAGAAGGAATCTGAGAAAACTACATGTGAAGAGGTGGAATTTCAATTTTCTGTTAGGTATTGTTTTCATACTGTGCCCTCCCTCCAACAGAACATACACATAAAAACACTGGCTGATGACATGGTAAGGTGCTTGGTTACATTTTAGTGTGACTAGCTTTGTTCTACATATTTTTCACTTGTTGTCCATGGCTGCATGACACTTGAAGCAGACATTTATGAATGGATCAAATGTGCCCAAATTCAAAATAAAAAAGCAGAGAGTTTAAGCTCATTTTTAGTTTTTCCTCCCCAGTAGATTGAAATAATTCTCAAATTGCTTCTATAATTATCGTACCCTGTATAAGAAAGTGTAAATGTAAAAATTATTTATTTGTTCTCTGTAGCTTAAATTTGCAAATAACCTTTTGTAAAGAAATATTCAGATTCATTCAGTGGGGTTCCAACTCCATATTAAGAATTTAATGAGCTATAGACTTGACCTGTACTGTTTTACTTTCTTCAGCACTGGAAAGTCAGGAGCATACATTATTCAAGGGAATTTAGTGTGGAAAAATCTTAATACACAAATATAAACTGGTCTCATAATCTATTGTGAATTACTATTAAGTGTGCATTCTTTCCCTCCTGTTATAGACGTATAAATCCTGGATATTTCTATATATTTCTTGTGAATAAAACCTCTAATTAAAAGTAGAATGATTCTGAGAAAAAAAAAAAAACATTAAGTAATAAAATGTGTTTAAGAATTTCCTGTTCCAAATAAGGACATGGACTATCTATAGTTGCTTTATATAACTGAGAAGGAGGGGGGAATAAATATGAACAAAAACGCTGAAGCTAATACTAACTAACTACAACAACAAAAATGGGATGTTTTTAGGCTTTAAAGCTGAATGTGCAAAAACCAATTAAAATTATGAAAATATGTTTTTTTTAACTTAGTTCAATCCTAGTTTTCTTTTATAGTTGTAATGCACAATGGGTTATATTTAAATTTTTTTAAATGATTGGGACTGAGGCAAAACAAGTTTATCCAGCCAGCATTGACATCAAATAGGAAGTAAGAAAATTTAATTAATCCCACTATTAAATCTAACTACATGAGGGAACTTGGCACCTCAGAGTTTTAATAATAACATATTTTAAGGCTTTTGTACCAGGGGTGCGAGTAATTATGTAGGGAGCCGATAGTCACAGCCTCCTTAAATTGTTATTTTTATTAAATATTTGTTATTAAATTAATCAATCAGTTTAATGTCTCTTAAATGTATTTGGACAATTTTAACAGTCAGCCTAACTGTAAACCCTACAGTACATTTGATCCATTGAATAATTTATTCATCTTCAGTACATCATTTGTTATCATGCATGTTTTAAGTGTCCTCATCTCATTTGCATGACTTCCCGCAATGTTTCTTCATAAACCTAACAATGAACCCCCCTCCCGCATGTGCTCCATCTTTGTTTCTGTACAGAATGAGTGTCACTAGATTTAATCCATTGAATTAATTAGGAATGTTTCTAATCGCAACATAAACTGAATATGGAATAATGTCCTTGAATTATTTAAATGGCATCATTACAAAACAGTTTATGGCAGCTCTGACGGTAAGTAAAGATCTGACATGTTTAATGGAATATCTTATTGCTTATCTGCAGATATTTAAACCTTTTTTTTTTATTTGGTTTCAGTGTTAAGATAAAGAAAAAATAATGTTTTATGTTGGTCATAATGATTGTGATTCTACCTACATGTTTTTGTTTGCAGTCATACCTTTTGAGCTGTCTTCAATATAATCATCTTATGTTTACTGTAAACTCTGGTAAAAATAATTGTTAGTAGCAGAAAATTGTATAACCTGTTGATGCATGTGGTGTTTATAGTACAGGCAAACTAAAACCAATGTTTTCCTTCTCCTCCTTCCCACACACTTAGTGCAGTATTTTAATTTCTTCAATGTTGTTTTTCTTTCAGCGAGACCGTATTACAAGTTTCAGGAAAACAGGGGCAAAGAAGGAGAAGCCTCTCATCCAACACCCGACCGATCCCAACTCTACCCAAACAGAACTGCCTCTGCCACAGCCTTTTTTTGACGAGAGATCCAATAACCTCTCAGAAAAAGAAATAGTTGACCTCTTCGAGAAGATGATGGTGAGCTAAGATTGTTTTTTCTTTTTTTTTTTGTATTTTAATGTCACCTGCATTTCATCTTCAAAATAATATAGCTCCTGAGTTCACTTGGCAAACAAAACCTAAATATTCTGTATAAAAATGATCAAACATGGAAGTTAAGATTAAAAAATGGCATAATTTAGTATTTATGCTTACTTGGTTTACTACTGTGGATATAATATAAAATATCTGTAGATTTTAATATACCGGTAAAAGTAATAACCCTATTCAGGTTTTCACATTTAGGTGTAATTGCTTAGACTCAAAAACCAAGGTAACACCTAGTTATCTTCCAGATGAACAATAAACTACATATTAGATTGAATGATAATAAGAAGTAATTAAAAAGAGATCAATAATTGAATTTCTAGAGAAAAGTATGAAAAATGAGTACAGCACAATTTATCATTTGATTTTGTTTAAATATAGTAGAAAATTTCAATCCCTGAACAAATGAAAGGCCAAAAACATCAACCACAAAATAACACAAAAAATAAGACTGAGGATTTTATCTTCTCAAAGCAAAATAAATGTGAAACTATAGAGCAAGGAACACGATTTTCTGAATTTTTCTAAAAAGGGTTCTACAGATCACTGTAGATATAAAATAGAAATAATATTTTAGTCCATTGTTTATAGTACAACTCTGCCTCATAGTAAAGGTTTTTGGATTTTTGTGATAATACTTTGTTTCTGGATTTTCTCCTCAAAAATTTGAAATGGTAGTTCACCTAAACCTGTGCTTGGATTTGCTTTAATCTGGAATATGCTCCAGGCGCTCTCACAATATCATGCGCTTTGCCATAAATGTCCTCCAGGCCACGCTTTGGACACAGTTGGCATATAGATACAGCTTTAAACAAAACATGAAGCTTAGATGCAACAGTAACGCAAGAACAAAGATTTAGATGAAGTGTATTTACTGCCTGGGGAATCGGTCCGTTCGAGTCACTTGGTGAACTTGTTCCTCTGGCATCCCAGGACAGATGGGCAGAAGGTATGGTCGGTGATCTAGGGAGAAGTTTTGAAAATATCCTTCACTGCATACAGATGTTAACCTTCACCCAGGTCTGAGCAGACTTAATCAATTTCTTGCGTCTGTTGGTGCTGCACACCCTCGGGCTGTTTTCACAGCAGATCTCAGGGTGGTAGATTGGACAGGCCAACATAGATTCATGGAACACCGGCAGACCAAGCCCCCCAAGAAACATCAAATGGACAGAGCAGTATCTCATCCCTTTCTTTTTTCTTTTAAGCTCTGTTTTCTTTGCTGTCCAAAACAAAGACAGATAAATATCAAAGATGACCTAAACAGTGACAGGGAATTAAGTGCTTTTCAATTTGTCACTATATTTTTCAAACATATGGTCACACATGTAGTCTGCACTTATCTTTCTTCTCACCGGAGACACACTTCTGTTGAACATGCTCCCTTATTCAGTGGGGTCAAGAAGTCTGTTTTTCAGAGCCTCCAAAAAGTATTATCATTTTTTGCACTTTCTCCTCAACAGTAAGATGACCTTCCTTCCTCTTTTTTATTAGATATTGGTTACGTTTTTTTCACTTAGCAACCAGAACAACCTTGCACTTATAAAAACACTCAAATTGAGCGCCGACTGCATTTTACAAAGAAAGTGTGAGATTTATCTGAATGAGAAGGCTCAACTTGGTATGTTGTAAGTATGTTTTATAAACTATAACATCATAGTAAGGTAATTCAAAATTTCTCCTTAAACTAATCTACATGCCACTGGGTTTCCATATAATAATTTCTTTCTTTTTTTGTCATCAAGATGAATGTCAGAGATCAATGATTTGGTTTAAGTTAATTTCACAGAGAAGCTAGGGATTCAGGGTTTTTCTATATGAATTGGGAACCTTAAATCTAATATTCCTGGATAATTTATGTCTTCTTATTGTTCAAATGCACATTTCTCTGTCAACCTTGTGGTTATCTTTAACAGTTTGTCTGCAACTACACCATACCAGCCTAACTGTTAAAGTTTTTCAGTATGGATTGAAGCAGCAGTTATTAAGACAACCTTCTGTCAAAAAGCAAAGACTGAATGCTTAGGCATCATCTCTTTAGAAGAAAACACTAAATGACCCTGGTGACTACCTTATAGCGTTTGTACCTTCTTTCATACAAAGTACAGCTAGTTATTTCTCTGATTCCTAGCTGAGTCATATTTTGACCTTTGAGCATCACGTAATCAGTTGCTTGCATGCCCTCAATGCCAGGTTTTCCTGAATAGTGAGCGGACCTTTGCTTTACAGAAAGAATAGGGTTTCTATGTTTCTGCTTTGAGCTATAACACGTTTTAATGCGATTTGTTTAACCCAAACCGCTTAAATGCTAACAAAATGGCTTTGCTTTTGGATATTAAATCACTGAAATGAACCAAATGTGATTTTTCCCACTTCCAGATGTTTTAATTGCTCAATCAAATGATCCTTCTCCTGCTATTTACATTTTCTAAAATCGCATAAGAAGTTATATCAGTGTTTTTTGGATTGTTTTTTTTAAAAACATCTCTATGACATAATGTTAACCCAATTGTAAAACACATGCACACTCATATACTCCTACTACGTTTGATCTTTGAGTACTTTTTTTTTTTTATTTGGCCAGCATAAATGGAGGACCTTTGCTTTTATCTTTCATAAAACCATCTATGCAATCTGTGCCATTGTGCAGCCCCTGTAATGCAGCCTCCAAAGTGTTGGATTCAGGCTGTAATCCACATTCTCTTCTTTTACCAGAGCTGTAGATGACCCAGCGTTGGTACTGTCAGCTCTTGTCCTCAGGCCTTCACCATCAGTGCAGCTCACTCTGCTTCTTCCACTCAATGCTTAATAATAAACGAATAACGCTGCCCACTTGTATTCAGATTTTGTCATCTGAATCATCTGACATGCAGAACTTTCCTGAAGTATTTAAACCCCTTTAATCTATTATTTTGTTTAGCTACAGCAGCACATTTTAATCTATTTTATGGTAATAGTTTGTAACAGCCCAGTGGAGAAAGAAATGTACATTTTTTCTTTCTCATCATGAACGATTATATTTTTTAAACATTATTATTCATTAAATATAACATATTTATTGTTATTATATGTATTTATAGTAATGTGTGTTGGTATATATGACATTAACAAAAAACTAGGGATTTAAAAATTAGCTTTGAGGGAAATTATGTAGGAAAGAACTATCCTTCCTTATCTGACAGAAAAGGCCTTTTCTCTTTCGTAATAACACACGTGTGAATCTGACTTGTTTTAGCTTTAAAGATAAACATAATACACTGTTGACAAAGGTTATTATTCTTATGCTGAATACAATTTTATATTTATTTTTTATCTTTATTTTTTACCCATTTTGTAGAATAATTTGTTAGTTTGCATAAAAGGGTCTTCCTGACCAAACCATAATTGTTTTTTGGGGGGGGGGGGCTGCAGCTTGGAAAAGTTTAGGAACCCCTTTGATACCCCACAATAAATTCAACATAAGGATAATCAAACATAGTGTTAAACATATGTGATAAATAAAATTAATTAAAAAGGAGGTACATTTTTATATTTAGCTTTAAATATGAGGAGGGCTAAATACACATTGCACTATTCAGATTTAAAAAACAAAAACAAATCCTTGAAACCATTTATCATTCAATAATTCTACTGTAAACCCGTGCTCTGCTTTGACTCTTTCACCAAAAATCCAATAAAATGTATCGAAGTTCGGGGCTCTTACCGAATAAAATTAAAAAAAGTTGATGAGGTAACAGTAATTTTAAAGGCTTTCTGCATTTGTGTGTTGGAACAAAGTCAACAGGTTCTGATATGTAGCCTAACAAGCTTGCAGAGCTTTGTCGATTCAGCTGCATGTTTACATGAACCCTGCAGTAAAACAGCTCTCCAAAGATTGAAAGCAATTGCTAATCTCATTCTGTGTTGAGAGATTCAAATAAACTGCATACAGAGCCCCTATTTCCTTACAGCAGTAATGACTCACAGCACGTACTACAATCATTTGGCACAGTGATGTTTGTGTAACCATTGTTCTTGGAAACAAAAGAGCTCTGGCTCAAAGATGTAGTTTTAACATGATTTTGCGTATTTATAGCATTTGTTGACAGATTGAGTATAACGCATTTAGAATAACGATTTACTTGCAGAGTTAAAGACTAAAGTTCTCACTTCTGTGGGGGTCAAGGCCCTGTCATGTTTGTGTGTTTTTGGCCTCATGTACTTCATGATGGAAATCTAAGAAAAACCTTCCACCCCATCTCTTTGAAGAGAGGGGCTGAATTACTTTGGCTTTATTTCAGAGGTTGTGTGTTCTTTTGTAGATAGCTCATCTGAGTGTGTGTTTGTGTGTGTGGTGCTTATCTTTTCTGTATTTCTCGTACAATAGCCTTTATTGCCGGGGCTAGAAAAATACGATCAGAGCTCCAGGTTTTCATCAGGCCTCTGTTCACTGTTTTCCTGCCTGGATGCTCATCCCTGTCACTCAGTTCACCTCTCAATTACTATGTTTGTGCTCACAGCGGCGTGACATTACACCCAGGCTTCAATTTGCTCAGTGACAGATGACACAAGAGGCATGTTTGCTGGTCTGACATTTGACAGATCCTGACACTTCGGGTTGGGAGCTGTAATTACGGTAATGAAATCGAAAAAAGGGGGAGAAAAAAAGGTGATTTGCTTATGTACTGTCGATTCCAATACTGCCTCCACGGAAAAACGGGAAACCGTTCTGCTTTGATGTTGGAAACAGAAAATAACTGAAGTGTGGATTTTTCTACTTTTTGCTAATAATGACCAACTTCATTATCTGTTTTGTCATCTTGAATATATTCTCAGTTTTTCTTTTATGTCAAACACACTTTTATCAACTTTGCCCACACACCACTATTAGCTGTTCTCACAACTTTTAGCCTGGGATGTTTTGCTGTCTTCAATTGAAGGGCTGACCCTCG